GTTTCACTGTTTAAGGGTTCAAACACCTTATCCGAAGGATCCCAGTGACCAGTAATCAAATAAGTAGTATTACATCCGTCGGTGTCTGAAAGATCGGTTCCCATGGATACCTAATGTTTGGTCAATTATAATTTATAAACAATAATATTCTAAATAAACATAAGCTATAACAACTTACCATATCTAAAAGCTGCATATCACTTTGCTTTACATTACGACCCGGGCAAACAAGAACTCCAAAACATCGTTCTAAATGTAATATCCTTTGCTGAGTTCCGGATACTACTTGATTAATAGTTAAACACACTTGTTTTTCCACATTTGCCCGAAGTTTAAGGAAATTTTTATCTCTTGGTACTGATATAAATCCTCCCTATATACATAGTAGATTAACCATTACTCACAATATTTTTCTTTTTATCAATTATTGTGAGCATTTTACCTTTCCATCGTCTTCTTTGATCTCCAAACTCACTTCAAAAATAAAAATCTCGGTTGTTCCGTTTTTACTTTGCATATCTAAAGTTATATTAGAACTTAACTCTGGTGATGTAGAACTTGAAGTAAATTTTGATTCTTTTTGAAAGGCCTTCACAAAACAGTTGGATACACGGTTCACCTGTCACATATAACTATATAAACTTTATGATAACAAAACAAATTGTTTGAACAACTGTTATACCAGATAAATGAATATTGTATTTATGGCACCCAAGCTTCATACAAAATAAAAATATTTCAACTGTGTAATTTAATGTTATTGTGCAGTGAAAGTTGTTTAAAATTAAAAAAAAAAAAAGCTTTAAAACCATAAAATATACAAATATGTTCTTTAACGTTGGATATAAAAGTATTTATCAACCATTATTATAATCAGTTAAAAATAAATATAGGTACATAAAACTATAAGACTTACAGCTTCTGGAATTGAGCAACGAAAAACATGACATTGAAATAGTGCATTTTCTTTAGTGTCACCATGTGCCCAGCTGAATGCAAAACATGATGCTTCTTTTGTTCCGTTAACACCATTAGCATAAAACATTATTCTTTCGATCTCATAACGGGCGATTATTGTATTGCTTGTTCCGTCAAATAAACTATACAACAAATTATTTATATTACTTTAAATAAATACAAAGTAGGTATATGATTTATGTATAAATTTGTACTTTTTCCGACTACTAACCTAACCTAACCTTTTTTTTTTATACTATCTTTATAATTAAACTACATACATAACAGCTCCGTCCGATGAAATTGGGATGGACACTGATATTTTCATATCTTGATCAGCAACGTGTTCTCCATTTAATATAGCCATAATCCTTAGTATTTCAGTTTTTTCTTTAGGATATGTAATACTAGCTGAGCCCAGGTACGAAATTCCATCAAACATTGTACCTTTTTCAATTTGACCTAAATTATTATTTACATGATACAGGCATAATGCCTAATATTTATAAATTGTGATAAAAATATAGTGATCAAATAAATGTATTATATTTTTGAATCTATATTCAAGTCTTTAATGTAATAACAAACATAAATTCCTTACATGATTTCAAATGTATTTACCTAGATCATCAGATAAAGGCTCTGATATTTTTGTCAATGGTATATCACTTTTAATATCTTTGTCGGACATGATTGTTTTTATAGATTCACGTTCATTCTCTTCATCCAATAACTCTCCAAGACATTTCTGCATGTGTTCCAAATTACCGTCACCGCCAATGTTCAACTCAGGTTTACCGTCACATTTCTATTAAAAAACACATAGATACTTGGATTATTGAATTAATTTGGAAATAGATGAGATAAGTATTTTACATTTAACGTATTCGGTGGAATGATTTCGTAATCCTCGCTGGTGCTAACGGATTCACCAGAATCGACACTTGCTCGGTCAGCCATCAGTTAACTATCCTCTTCATTATTGACTTCAAAATTCGAACAATCTTTTCAAATATAATCTACAACATTGAAAGCAGTAAACTTTTTGTAGGGAGAGGCTATATACATATTATATTTCAAGACTTCAGTGGGTACTATAAAATGGAATCTATACGAAGGAAAGAATAATAAAAATATTGAAATTTAATTACAAAAGATTACAAATTTTAATTACCATTTACCTATAAAGTATTTATGAATTATGTTTGCCTTATCAACTATTTACAAATTACAAAAGCCATAAATAAAATCAATTGAATTTTTCCACGGAACACATTGCGAGTTGGAGACGAATAGAAATAAATAATAAATAATAATATGTCAAGCAAGCTAAGGAGAGTAGTTGTAGTATAATATTTATTGTGTGTGATAACAACGAATACTTATCAAAATAAGGTAATTCTAACCCCGTACTGCACCACCCGTACTTGCCCCACCACTATCGACCTGACAGCTACCAGAGCTACCAGAGTTGGGATTCCGCAACGGATTTTGAATTTTATACCTACAGCATTATCAGAAATTCACGAGGAAATTCACAACGCAAACATAATCGAAATCAGAAATTGCCAATAATTTGAGTGTTTTTCATAATAATATTGACCGATTATAAAGTATAATTATTGAAATCAATTATTTTTCAACAACTTTCAAGTGGCTAGAGGCGCCTTTCTTATTAATCGTAAACATTGGTAGGCCACACTACACAACTAACAAATAATACTTTGTACAATTCATTGCAATTATAATTTGTTCCAGATCATTTATGTAAGCATTATTTTCATTATTTATAAAATAGCAACGATGTGCATTTATGTCAACAAATGTATTTTCTGTTAGACATTTAAATGTCATGGTTTTATACTTTGGGACCACTTTTATCATAGTATAATGTGCCTACAACGAGATTTTGGAAGTAAACATAAGAGTACCTAGTATGTTAAATATTTTCAGTGCTATATTTATTTTCCCTCTCTGACCCACTCGTAACAGACAAAACGCATTCAAGTAAAATCGTTTTTATGATTTCTGAGTAATTTTAGCATTTTAGCAAAATAATTTTTACATAAATTACAATGAATAATATTGTTTAGGGTTTTATATTGTATTATTATTTGACTTTTTAATTTTAAAGAAAATATTTTATAATTAGCTAATTTTAGCTTTGAGAAAATATTGACAAAACCTTCAAACCTTAAAAAATGTTATTCTCTTTAATTTTTGTGGTTAGAGATTTTACTCAAAATCAAAAAAATAGATTTTGTGTGAATTTGTTTTGTCTATGAGAAAGAGAGAGAGAAAATAAAAAGTGTGCTGACATTCTTATGATATGCATTTAGTCATTTAGACGGCGGTTGATACTTGTCACTGATAAATATATATTTTTGAGTATGTCTAGAAATTATATTTATTTATTTATCTATGCTTTTAAATTGTATAATATTAAGTAGGTTTATGATATTAGTAAACAATTAATTAGGTATATTATTTCCATTAAATAAATTATCAGTGAATAATAATATTAGATACTTTACCTAATTAGAATCAAAATAATATTTAAAGTGTTCATAATAAATCATACGGTGCAATTAAAACAATTGATTATTGATAACAATAACATTACCACAGAGTAAATGAAAAATATATATTTTCTTTATTGGTTAATTTTATTTCAAAATTAATTTGTTGAAAATGATTTTAAGTGATATTACTTAGATAATTTAAAATTGATTTTATAGGCACTTTTGGTAGATACATTACTATAGTTATTTTTTCAAGAATTGGTCTCTATTTAGTCATGAGTAATGACTGTTACTATACTTCAATTTCTTATGTAATTTATTTTACTGGTTTTTTAAAATTTAGAATTTACTATTTCTGGCAGGTATACTTATATCAACAACTTCAGCTTTAGTAGAAATGCCTTGACATTTGATTTTATCTATTACTACTATGTATTATTTTGAGTAATCTCATATTCAAAATAGGACCCTACATCCTAAAAATAAAAAATCTGAATCAATGTTAAAAATAGAATCCAAACTGTAAAGTAGGTAGGTACCAAATTTCACTGAACTTCAATTTTTATGTATTTATAATACTGGTAATACTGCAATAATAATTTAGTTTTTTTCTGGAAATAAAACTTTTAAATGTGGTATTTAATGTTAAAAACCATATTTTTAATTATTTTTATCATCTTATGATGTTTAAAATGTATGTATAGAATAATGTTATATTTGTTATTTGTTGAAGTCTGTCTTAATGTTATTTGCTACAGTGGTAACTATATTATGTTCTCTATTTGTGCTACAGTGTATCTGTGACAAACACATTATTCCAAGTGGAAGAATACAATACAAATTTGATCTTTGGATTGATAGATCTATCTCTAGAGTTAGAATTTATATTATTTTTCGGTGTCTTTACTAATTGTAACTATGGAAAGAGTCAATTCTATAATTCTATAAAAAAAAAAAATAAAAAAAAAATAACAATAAATTATGTTTTGAGGGTTATATCTATATGTATTATGTACCATGTACGTTCTAAAACATACCGCTAAAAGTTGTATTATGTGGCAATCTAATAAAAAGCTCAAATGTCCAAGGACCATTTACACAAATATTGAAAAATTTAAAATATTTAAATTTGGAACACCTCAAATTATAATTATTTGTTTAATTTGTCTTATTTTTCCCGTTGGATTTTTTCTGAGTAGTTACTAATTAGGGATTTAAGTGGAAAGAATTATATGTGTACCATCTAACAATTTTTAACTGTTTAGTATCTAACGTTTGTGAAAAATAATGGACAATTTAACTTCATATTATGTAGAGCACACCAATGATATTTGTAAGCTTCAATCTCTTATAATTAGAGTAAGGAAAAATTTATTTTACAATTGAATATTGATTATGAAATACAACAGTTCTTTTTGTAATGCATTTAATTGGATTTGTAAACATGTTTCAAAAGATTAATTCACCATCATTAAAAAGTTAAAATATTGTATTTTCAGATTCAAAATTATATTTAATACAATGAGTACTAAAACAAAACAAAAAAAAATGGCCGACTATGTCACAACAACAACAGATAACTCAAAGAAAAGAGTTAGAAACAATGATGGAGATGATTCCGAATCTAAAAAGCCCAAATCGACACAAGTTGATTTGAACAAAATAAATTTTGATTGTGAGAAAAAAAGTGCTAAAGGCCTTACTTGGAATATGAAAATTATTTCATGGAATGTTGCCGGTCTTAGAGCATGGCTTAAGGTAATGTAACAAATAAAATCGAGATTATTATTTTTTTAATAATTATATACAATTATAAACACAAATTAGCTATATTTGTATTTGCATTTATATATTTTATTTAAATATTTTAGAAAGATGTTGTAGAATATCTTAAAAAGGAGGATCCAGATATTATTTGTTTACAAGAAATCAAATGCACCGAAAAACAAATGCCAGATGAAGCAAAGTTACCTGGATATAAAATTTACATTAATTCAGGTTAGAACTCAAAATATGTGCTGTAAAGTACATTACAATTAAAAATATTTTAAATAGTTTACCTCAATAATTTATAATTAATTTAAGATAATCTACTATAAAACTGAAGTATATAATTAATTTGTTTATAGGTGACAAGGCTGGTTACTCAGGAGTTGCTTTATATTCTAAGACAAAGCCAATTAGTGTGAGAATGGGAAAAGAAATAAAAGAATTGGATGATAATGAAGGTCGTGTGATTGAAGCAGAATATGAACAATTTTTCCTTGTTTCTACTTGTAATACTTCAAACCATTAAACTTTTCAGTCACTTTAGTAGTTACTAACTATTTAATGTTTTAGATATTCCAAATGCTGGCGCAGGATTAAAAACATTGCCAAAAAGAATGAAATGGGATGAGGCATTTCGTAAATATTTGAAAGAGTTAGATACCAAAAAACCAGTTGTATTAACTGGTGATTTGAATGTTGCTCATGAAGAAATAGGTATTATTTTATTAATTTTTTTTCAATATTTATTTTGAGCTACTGCCTAAGTGCCCAATTACATGATAAAATATATTTTTAGATATCGCAAACCCAAAAACTAATACAAAGAGTGCAGGTTTTACTAAAGAAGAAAGAGATAATATGTCATTGCTTCTTGAACAAGGATTCATTGATACATTTAGAACATTAAACCCTGAGAAAACTGGAGCCTATACTTTTTGGACTTATTTTCATAACTCAAGAGCTAAAAATGTTGGATGGTAAGTAATAAAATTGTTAAGCTGTATAAAAATATAGTCGGTTCTTTTAATTAAACTGTGTTATGATAAGTTTCGACAATTAAATGTATCAATATGGCAGTTAACATGTTTTAAAAACTAACTAAATAAAGTGCTTATAACACAATATTAAATAACCTTATAATAATATTGTATCATGCTATTTGTCAAAGGTAGGAAACTGTCAGTTTAAAGTTTATATGTTTAGAATTCTTATAAGAAAAAGAGCATAAAAGTTGAATATGATTTGTCCCTTGAAACTATTTTGAAAATTAGCACTTTTTAAGTCACAAATTGCAATGTTTTGTAAATATCTGAATCTTGTAACTTACTTTAACTTTTTTGATATTCAAAAATTGTTTGATTATTTATTTTTGTTCTATTTTTTTTTTATTATTTTGTGTAATTATACTAATATTAAATACCTGTTAGAGATACTATAGTCTGTAGGATTATTTTATTAATATATTTTATATGACCATAATATATTGTTCATTTGAAAAATGCACAGTATACAATGAAATTTAATAAATTATTTTTTTTTTTTTAGGAGACTGGACTATTTTATATCATCAAAAAGATTCATGGATAATGTATGTGATAGTACTATAAGAAATGAAGTACTAGGTAGTGATCACTGTCCAATTGTGTTTTACATTAATGTTTGATCATAAAAATATTTTTTTTTTTAAATTGTAAGACTAATAAAGTATACAATGTACAAATTACTTCTGTAAGTGATTTTATAATAATGAGTTAACATACTACTTTTCTTTAAATCAATTACTGTAAGAGTATGTAACTAAAGGAAAACAAATTTAATAAATTAAAAATCTAAATCTCATTGCTGTTGCTGTTACTTTGCTTATATCCATTCCTACCTCCTTGTGTGCCCATTAGGCTATTGCACCCTGCTGCTTCTTTAAGAGTTATCTCTTTTCGTCCAGATGATTCAAGCAGAGTTTTAAGATCAAGATAAATTTCTTTGCATGGTGCAAGTTGAGATCTCATATATTTGTGTTTAAGAACACCATTTTCGGTACCTAATTAAAATAAAAATACGTCATTAATACCTATAAATTTCAATTTTTTATTTTATTTTGATTACATAATTTATAAATTTGTTGTCGAAATTACCTGTAACTGCTAATAAATTGCGTGGGGATCCAACGTGATGCTCTGTCGTAGAATATAGATGATAGAGATATATTATAATATGATAAATCCATACTCCCACCCACCTTATACTCAGTATGGAATCATGTTTTTTTTTAGTTTCATTATATTGAGTAAATAATAATATACAAGATTGTGTTTTTGAATAATAATTTTAAGTTTGTATTAAGTAGGTATCTAATACCTACATACACCATGATAGGGAACTAAAATTCTTATGTCTCGTTGAGTTAACCATTTTAGTCAAAATTTTAATTTAGTAGGTGTAGTCTTAATAAATGTTGTACAAATATATTTTGGTATTTTTAGGCTGCTGTGAGAACAATTAATGAAAATCCTTGTATAAAATCGTTAGGATTTTTTTCAGAAATAAAATTTAACGTTATAGGACATATAATAATTTGATCAAAAACTATTTACAATGAATGTTAATCAGTGTCAGCCTGGCTATGGCCGCTAGCCCGCGGCCAGGGCCCCTCCGTTTTTTTTGGGGGGGGGCCATATTTTTGTTGTCCAGGGTAAAGAAAAATTACAAAATCTTAATAATTGGATCAATAATCTGATGCTTACCTATTATCTATAGTGTGAAA